AATAAAATAGTATCCATCAGTGCAAACAATTGAACTACACAGTTAGCAGAGCAACATGGAGGAATCTCACAAACATAGTATTGAGTGGGAGGAAGCAAGTCACATTGGTGTATGCATAAGCCCATTTGATAGTTCAAAAGCACACATAATTTATCAGAATGGGGTTCCTCCACAATTGGCTCATTCTCAGGCCCCACATGTTTGCAGGATGGCTGCAGCAGCACTAGCCTCTGAATCCTCTCTTGTTCATATCTAATAGGAGCAGGAAAAGGTCTGTCTCCTTCTTAATAAAACACCATAAATTAGGTCTCGTTGGCCCTGATTGGTCTGGCTTGGGCCATGTGCCTATCCATGAACTAATCACAGTAATTAGTGGGATGAAACATGATGAATGGCTAGCCTAATTAATGTCATTCAGAGCACATGGGCTGGGAGTAGGGCAAGGGAGAGGAAAATGCTGGTATGGATGCCAGAAGGAGGGTAGACGGATGTCAGGCTTCTGAAACAACAGATGATATTATTCCACCCACTTAGTAGAGGCCAATTTATATTACACACACCATTGTTACTTGCTTATGGTCTATGAATGATATGAAACAGTTCAAAGAAGGGCAGGTAGAAGCCAGAAAGGGGTTTTTATGTTGCAGTAGACCTCGAACCACAAGCAGTACTCCCAAATCGGAGTGGGCAGGTGGGCAGCAGTGCTCCAAGATGGCAGGTAGGGCTGGCAGCTAGACGCCCGTCCAATCGAGATGCTGTGGGATTCACATGGTGAAACTTTATGTCCCCTCAGAAATGCTCACCTTGTTTTTGTCCACTCGATCCATGTTGCTGATTTAAAGAATTCTTTCTAGAAGCTGTGAAAGGAACACTGGTAGATTTGCCCTTTTTTGGCGTGATAATTATTATACCCTGATCTGAAGTTCTGTAATTTCCGGTAGCCCCTTCTATAATTTCCTCCCTCGCTTCATTTCCTTTATGAAGTTCATGTGTTTTACTCAAGAAATAAAGATGCATTTTGTGCTCACGAACAAGTTTATGTGGCTCCTTGTATCAAATAATTGGTAGGGTAGGGAAAATGTTTATGCTTTGGGTCTTTGCATAGTCATTACTGTAAGTATTAATAGAAGTGCTGTTATCAGAAAGGACTTTAAATCATTACTTGTTTAAACTGTGCCTAACAACTCAGACCATTAAAAGCTGCTTTTCCCTAGTCACAAAGAATAAACGGCTTTTATTTTATCGTACACATATAAAATAAGTTAGTTCCTTTTGTGGGCATTGTTGTTAACATTCATTCTGGAGTAACTGGAATTGATCTCATAGTTATTGTCCGGGACACACAGCTTTGAGTCTCTCTCCTCACTCTGACTGTTGTCTAAAAATCAAAGGTAAGCTTATTTTAGACACTGTAGCTAAAAGGACATGGTATATGCTGGACTTGTGTCTCCTTTTTACAAAACCAACCCTGACATTTTATTTATTTTTGTACTCAAACCCACATTTAGTTATGTTTTGCCTGTGTAACTTATTTTAAACATCACCTTGCTTGCAGTCCCGACTATAAGTTTAGCATTGTTCTTCCGCCAAAAGCAATGAAATGTGACCTGTTTCATCGTGATTCAGTGAAGTGTAATCAGCATTTTCTTTTCACAAATATAATATCAGTGGCTATTTATAACATTTCTTCGACCTTCAGAAATGTAATGAGGTTTTGTTTTGTATTTACATAAAATTCTATTTGTATTTAAATGCCCTGGGTACAATATATTAGTGGATTTTGCACTTAAGGCCAGATACTAAAATATTCTTAATGTGTTTTTTTAAGTCCTATCTTGAATTTATAGAGCAGCCTCTGAGATTCTCAATATGCACCTATAAATAAGCATTGCTGATTGTAAAAGCCGTCTTGCTGTTCTCATAAACCACCAAAAATATAAATTCATTGGTTTACCTCATATTGAATTTCCTGACTAGATGATGCCTTTTTTCTTTTTTTAGAAAGTACATTTGTACTTTTCATCATTTCTCCCGAGGAAAGCATTGTCCTAAAGATTTGTTTAAATGTCTTCTGTGTAGCTTCTTTAGACATAATTTTTCTGAATATTATCTATTTTCATTTGTTTGTGACTGGTCATTGCTGCCACTGAACAAAAACCATTGTGTTTCAAGTCATTTTATGGTATCTTTACTATTTCCAATAGGTGTTAAAAAAGATATTTCTGTTGAGTTTTCTAGGTATTCAACCTTGTCACCTGTTGCTGATGGTAATTTGGTCTGTTCATTTCCTTTCACTATTGCATAGTGAGCATCTTTTATTTTATTCCTAACTTTTAATAAAAATATTGTCTGTTGATTTCAGATCTTTATAAAAATCATGGTAAATTATCCTTCTATGTCTAGGTTACTGAGAGATTATCATATATAGGTGATGAATTTATCACATGCTATTTTGGCATCTTTGAAGATAAGAGTATGTGTTGATCCTTTGTGAGCTGTTAATAGGGCATAATGAGTCTATTTATATAATATTTACAAAATAAACCCTATTTATATTGATGTACCATATAATAGAAATTGAGTTTTCTGGGCACTTTATTTAGGACTCTTACGTCTTATCCAAGTCAAACAAGCCTCTTACCTTTCTTTCTTTTTGCTTTATCAGGTTTGGTTATTAGGCTTGTGTTAGCTTCATCAAACAAACTGGGAGCCTCATTTTTCTCTATCCTGAAATTATTTTATGTCGTTTGGGAATTATCTAATCTTTAAAGTAAACCATATATTTTGGTTGTCAGCTTTTATATTTTCATTTCAGTTTTGATAATTAAATATCAAATGTAGAAAACTGTTTCCATTGAGATACTCAAATTTATTCACAAGGATTTTTTTTTTGGCCTTTAATAATTGATTTTTTTATCCAGCATATTATGGGGGTACAGATGTTTAGGTTATGTATGTTGCCCTTGCCCCCTCTCCCCACTGAGTCCGAGTTTCAAGCGTGTCCATCTCTCAGATGGTACGCATTGCACTCTTTGTGTGTGCATATACCCGTCCCCTCTTCCCCCTCCCCCCTCCCCCCTGCCCAACATCCAGTGGATGTTATTCTTATATGTGCATTTATGTGTTGATCAGTTAATACCAATTTGATGGTGAGTACATGTGGTGCTTGTTTTTCCATTCTTGGGATACTTCACTTAGTAGAATGCGTTCCAGCTCTATCCAGGAGTATACAAGAGGTGCTATATCACCATTATTTCTTAAAGCTGAATAGTACTCCGTGGTATACATATACCACATTTTATTAATCACAAGGATATTTTTATATAGTATTCTTGATTTTTTTTTTTTTTAAATAGGGCCTTGCTCTATTGCCTAGGTTGGACTACAGTGGCACGATCATAGCTCACTGCAGCCTCAAACTTCTGGGCTCAAGCGATCCTCCCACCTTAGCCTCCCAAGTATCTGGGACTACATGCACTTACACCATGCCTGGCTATTTTTTTTTTTTAATTTTTTTATAGACACAGGGTCTTCCTGTGTTGCCCAGTCTGGTCTCGAATTGCTGGCCTCAAGCCACCCTGCAGTCTTAGCCTCCCAAAGTGCTAGGATTATATGTGTGAGCCACCACAGCCTTGATTTTTTAATCTTTTCCATTACTATGATATATTCCTCTAATAATTCTAGTTTTGTGTTGGATTTTAAGACTAGAAATCTGTCTGTGAAGTATTTCATCCTGTAGTAAACCATGTATTGCTTTTTAAATATCTAAATCACACATTCCTGCTTTTATTTTTATTTCTACTTTTCCTGTATCGTATTTATTGCTGTTTTCAAATTTAACTGAGGTTAAATATTTAGTTCATTTCTTTGTTTCTCTCCAATTAAAAAAAAACAGTTACTGGTGTCACAAATAGAACTATTATATATTGTTTCTACTCCCCAAATACAGAATAAAATCAGCTCATTTTTGCTATCTACCCCTACCCATTTCCCCATTTTTAATAACATGAGCTAAGATTTCAGACTTAAGTGGAACTAGTTACTATGGGAAAGTTTTTTATTAGATATTTTTCCACAATTTTTGAATGTTTACACTCTATTTGGACTGTTTTTATAATAGCACACTCTGGTCCTGCTCTCAATGCTTGCCACCTGTGCTAATGTGTAACTATTTTTTCACTCTTAGGTTTTTATTTTGATTCATCCTTCAGTCAACTGGAATATTTTTGAGTAATTTTTTTCATGAAAATGCTCAGCTGATAACTTCTAGGCACATTTGTTTTTCTTTTAGAACTCTGCAAACATTGAAATTTCTGTGGTTCTTTCTTTTCAAAAATAGTAGCCAGAAAAACTGTGGCCCCGAATTTTACTGGATGTAAGCATCACCCCCATGAGCTCTGCCCCCCAACTACCTTGTAAATATGGAAAGTGAGAGGAATTACAAACTGGACAGTGCTGGAGAGGAGCTCAGGTAGAGTGGCCACAGCCTGAGGAAGTTGTCCCCTTCCTGGGGAGGACTTGTGTTTTGGAGCTGGGGAAGCTGCAGTTGAGACTGGTTGAAACTACGAACTCTCCTTCCATCGCTGCCTGGGGAGTTTCTCTCCTCTGTTAAGGGAAATTCTTCCTGGCTCCTGGCACGTCATTGAACTCCTTTGTTTTCAGAGCCATTGAAAATTCAAGTTTCCTTTTGAATTTTCTGAGTATTTCAAGGGAAAGGAAAAATCAGGGATGATTAGACGTCACTGTCTTTCTAACACCACAACCTGTGAGTCTTTGTTTTTTAATTAAATTTTTATCATTATTGCTATAGGCCTATTATAATCCAGTAGCATAGATGTGGCCTTTTCCTGGGAAAATTCTGGCCTTTTTGCATCCAGTCTTCCTTTTAAGTCACTTAAAATTATTAATAGCCTTGATATCACATCCATGTTCCATTAAAATAATTCTGAAAAAGTAATATTTAAATAAAAAGCAATTTATTGTTTGTGTTTCTACTCTAGGTGAAGACTGATGTTAAGAGTCTATGGGTGAAGACATTGGAAAGGCTTCAAGTATAAAAGTGAGCTGTTTTCATTTTTTTGCCACTTTAGTATGAAACATGTTAAAAGGTTAATATATTCATAATTTAGGTTCGTTAGGTATTTTTGCATAAGTACACTCTGTAGGCCAATTTTTTTCTATTTTCAAGTACAGTCGCCCCCCATTGTTTGCAGGACATACAGTCTAGGTCCTCCTGTGGATGCCCGAAACCACGAATAGGACTAAAACCTACTTATACTGTTTTTTCCTATACGTACACATCTATGATAAAGTTTAATTTACAAATTAGACACAAAAAGAGATTAACAAAAACTAATAATGAAATAAAACAATTATAACAATATACTGTAATAAAAGTTATATGAAAGCGGTCTCTCTCTCTCTCTCTTAAAATACTGTAATATTTTTGGACCATAGCTGACCTCAGTTAATTGAAACCATGGAGAATGAAATTGCAGATAAGGGGGCTACTATAGTTTTTGGGAAAATAGAAAAAAAACTATTTTCAAAAAGTTGTTAACTATTTTGTAAGAAATAATGACAAAAATTGTTACCAAAGGATGAAAAATAAAAGAAAGTGCATACTTCAAAATAACATACACAAAGAGTAAAAATGGAGTCGGAAATAGTAAACTATAACATGACCCATTTTGCTGTCGTTTCTTCCCATTGGTCTTCTATTATGATTGAGTTCATCTTTCTTCTAGGTAATATTTTAAATGTTGTTCTTGGCCAGAAAAGTTCTGTTTGTCCTTTTAAACTTCTTCTTTCTCTTTAAGATTTAAAATCTCATTTCAGTTTTGTGGTGGTGATGCTTGAAAAACCACAATGAACAGTAGAAGGGAAAGGAAGGAAGGGGTATGCTTTTTGTTAGATGCAGGCAATTATTTTACTCTGTTTTTTTTGCTAAGTACTTTAATTTATCATACTCTGACCACATTATAAGCTATTTGTCAAGACCTGAAATGGTGAACGAAGCTGCTCAATTCCATATTGTATGCTTGCTAAGGTGGTAGGAATGGAGGAAGAAATTCCATCTGCTAAGCATAGTGTTATCATTTTTTTACTGATAAAAGCAGTTTATACTTTCAATTTTATACCATGTCATTTTTTTTAACCAAACAGTAAAATAAAACAATTATAATAAAGGCTTAAGAGCAACAATGGGTTCGAGTCTTACTTTTAACTAGCAAAATATAATGCTTTATAAGAGACATAAATATTTGATACACTGAATTATTCTCAGAGTACTTAAAGGTATTACAAGGACGAATAGTATTTTAATGGAGTAAAGATTACTTTGCTTGTGTCAGAGTTCTTCAGTGTTTTGTTAACTGGTAAAACAATGACTTTCTTACTGCAGATCATCATTACTGGCAATAAAGTCCCAGAAGTTCTTTTGTCTAACTTATGACTAGACTGCCTAGTGGCTTAAAAATCCAGGGTCTGTGGTCCAGAGCTGACTTTTCTATTCATCAGTCACAGTGCTCAGGGCCCATGATACATTCAGTGGATCACAAAATTGTTTTAACTTTAATTTCTTTTAAACGCAGAAGAAAAAATAAAAATAATATATAATATTGAACCCAGCGTGGATGATATTTGTCTTTATACCAATGCAGTTGTGAATATAATTTTTAACATTTGTTATGGAGGAAGGGGCCCACAAAGGCCAAATTGCCCAAGACCCACAAAGTTATCATGTGACCCCACTAGTGTCATAATCAGGCACACTGCACGTGTGTGAGATCCAGTCATTTGAATGCTTTTGGTTTTTTTAAAAAGAAGAGTAAACATTTTCTCTTTTAGAGATGATTATCCTCTTTGTAAATGAGTTCGTAGATACGTCTGCGTATCAGAGAGACACATGGTCATATCTCCGTTGTTGGGTTAGCTGTAGTTATTCATTATGTTTTCCTAAATTCAGACAAACATTTTTCCCTGTAGATACTCATTGATATTCTGTTTGCTTTGTAATATGACACAGAAAATAAGGGAAAAGGAGGCAAGACTTGACTCAGGATTCTTTGGTTCCCTTTTGGCCAAGTGTGTGCCTAAGGGGTACGTGTTCCATGAGAACGGCAGTCAGCTCCGCCTGCTTGCTGCTGTGGGAGTCTAGAATTGTAGCTCTTCTGTAGCTATCGATCTATGTTACTGAGTGTACAGCATTTCCAATTACTGTGACTGATCTGGTTTGGTTTGTTTCCAAAGCTATGATCTAGTTTCAGAGAAAATATTTTTATGAGTCATCCACTTCCATGACTATATTGATAATTGTGCACAGAATATCTTCTGAAAGTCACTTTGTTGATTTAAAGATAAGTGTGTTGCATGTCTGAGGAGCTTCATTTTCAAAATTTGTGCCTACTCAAATATAAACTCCCTGAGGACCAGGATCTTTGTCTGTTTTGTTTGCTGCTGTATACTTTAGGTAAAGACATATGAGAGAAACTCAAGTGTTTGCTGAAAGAATGAACTAATTTCCTCCTTTAGCACAGTCATGTTCTCCCCTGAAATGCTCTGATGTTGTTTGGGTGTGTAAGTGGGCTGCCGAACTACTGATCCTCAGACTGGCAAGTGTCTTGGCTCGTATGCAACAATGTATGCGGCACATCAATGCAAAGCAACAACCTGCCAGCCAGTTACCCACAAACCGTATATAAAAACTGACCTCTCCAGGGTAGCAAGTCAGTTTAGGCTCTGTGATCACAAACCCAGTGGGTACCACTTAATCAAATTAAGCCAAGAAAGCAAGAAAATGCTGAGAGAAATGCCCCTCTCTCTAGCTGTTGAGGACTCAAGATTAGGGATGTAAACAGAGGAAATCAACTTACCTTAATTAGTACTACAAGGTTAAGGAGTCCTAATTTACAGAAACTTGAAAAATCAGAGAAGTATAGGCCTATTTTATACAAACTTTTGGTTTGTTGACCTTAAGGGAGCTAGAAATGCATTATTTTTCTGTTAATATGACGTGTGTGTATGTGTGTGTGTGTGTGTGTGTGTGTTTAGCTTTAAGGCTGCATTTTTCATGTACTACAAAAACAAGGATAGATATTTTTTTTAGCTGAGTAAAATTGCCCCTACATTTTGGTCCTCTGTGCCTTCTTGTCCAGGGTTTCACCTACCCCGCTTCTTTGACGGAAGTGTGTCGGGGCAGAGCTGCTGCATCGAGCACACAGCACAGGGCCACCAGAGAGACAGAAAGATGCCGATTAATGTTTCCAGGCCCATGTTAGGCTCTAGGTGCTGAGGGCACCCCTGGTCTTGGTGGTTCTTGCTAGCATTTTCTCAGCCCCTTACACTGTTGAGTATGGTGACAGGAGAGTGGCGTGCTTTTTCATAAAGATGCTGAAGGTTAGAAATGGTATGTTTTCTGCCCTGGGTTTGGCCGTTGCTCAGCACATCTCTGCTTGGTACACATCTCTACTTGGTGACTCCGTGCCTTGTGGCCCTACTGTGAGTGGTGCTCTTCCCTGGAGGGTGAGCATCACCCTGTCTGAGGCACTGTGACTACCCTGTCACGAGCAGTTGCCAGAGGACCACACTCTGAGCCCATCCCAGGGCAGTAGCTGCTCGTGTGGTTTCTCAGTAATGTATATAGTCTTGATGCTAAAGACTTTGTGGGATTGGAATATTCTGGCTTTTTACCCCTAAGACATACAAACAACATGGCAAAGTCAGGCTCAGGAGGGAATCAATGCCATACACCCCTTCACGTGTCTTGTAGGTGACCTTGCACCCGTGTCCCAGGGCCCTGTAAGTGTCTTGCTCAGGGCTGATGGATTTATCGGAAAGCAGCTAATAGAATTATTAGAGGCTACAGCATAAATGATTCACATTGTGAATGAGTAACTCGTTGTATTGAGCTAGACATGGCTAATAATATAACCATCTGGCAGAATTCTTGACAGAATGCCAGAGGACAGGAACTGAAAGGCAAAGTGTGATCTTTAAAAAGTCATTGAAGTACTGTCCTTCAATGCAAAATCCCCTAATTATCTCGTGGTATGGTGGCATCATGCAAATGATTTTTTAAATGTAATTAAAGATTAAAAGTGTTATACAAACTAAATATAGTAGTTACAACAATATGGAATGGAATACAGCATTGGGAAAGGTGTACAGATTTGACTCTACCTAAGCATTGGGCATCTCTTTTCCATTACAAAAAAAAAATGTCTCCTAGAAGTTTGCATACCTTAAGCTGGTGTAGAGACTAGACACCCTTCTGTAGGGGGAGACTTCCTCATTGTAGACTCTTTAATTATAGCTGGTGAAGGGTATGAGGGGATTCTTAATAATTCATGAGGGAAAAAAGGATATAAGTTTTAAAAAAAATACTTTTCTCATGAAAGGACGACCTTTGGAATGAGGAGCTAGCTCCTGTTGCTGATGTTGGCACTGAGAATTAGGAGACCCTCAGGACAGTATGTCCTCAGTTTTGTGGAATTATGGTAATAGGTTTCTGTCAAAAACAAGAAAGGTGGAGGGAGCTCCGTGGTGAAGTAAATTTGGTATTTAAGCAAGATTAATCGGTTCCTTTTTCTTCAGACCTTTACTGTGCTTCCCCAAACAGCACGTGTTCACCAAGGAGGTGTCGCAGGCAGGGTTTCCCCAACTTAATCAAGCACAGACTACCTCCTCCCCTGTCACCACTCCCACCCTGCCTCCTGGTTTTTTAACCTATTACTGTGTTGTTCTGTGGAAGATAGTGTGGTAAATGCAGAGTTAAGGTCAAGTGTGGGAAGGAGAAGTGGCCAGCACAAACACAGAAATGGGCTAAAGGAAGAAATGTGGATGAATCGAAGCAGTAACTGTGCTCCATCCCTGTTGGAGGAGCTAGAAGGAAGGACATTTGAAGGACAAAGCTCCACACAGCAGCACTGGGCACTCCATCTGGATAACCGGTGATGGTGCCAACTCTCGTGTTGCTAGTTAGGGAGTCCCTCACCTTCCGCTCTCCCCTTCGGCTGACCTCTGCGCTCCACGTGTAGAAGTTGTGGGGCATCTTGAAGC